GATGTGTTCTATGATTCTGTGACTTGTTCTCAAGTTTACTATGCAAACACTACATAGGAATCATGGAAGCCATGACTGAAAAACTTCCTCCTTGTGGTCTGAGTGGGAAATGCACCCCATGAGCTCATGTATTTGAACACATGGTCTGCAGTTGGAGACACTGTTTGGCCAGGTTCAGGAAGTCAGCCTTGCTGGAGATTGTACATCAGTGGGGTATGGGGTGAGGGTTTATAGCTTCCCTGCACTTCCAAGTCGCTCTCTTCTTCATGCTTATGGGTAAAGATGTGATCTCTCTGCTTCTTGCTTCTAGCGCCATGCTTTCCCACTTGTCACATCTGCCACCACAATAGACTCTGCCTCTGAAACTATAAGCAAAAATAGACTCTTCTCCCATTAGGTACTTTCAGTCATGGTATTTTATTGCAGCAACAAAAATGATACCAATACTCTACTCCTTCGGAGATGTATCTCAAAGCTACCAACTCAGGACCGCTTTACAAATTTTTTTTTTCGGTTTTTCTTTTGGATTGGAATTTTGGATTCTTCAGGAAGTATCATTACTAACCTAGAGTCATGTGGAAGCCTAACTATGGGTACAAGTCCTTAAGGAACTTTTTCACCTACCAGCATCCAGGGCAGTAAAAATGATAGTTCACTGGGATCTTTTCATGCTATGTGTTTCAAGCCTTCCTTTTTATATGGGTTCTGTATTTTGAGGTTCTTACCACATTGTTTGTTTTGTTCCAAATTATTATCTTTCTAGGCTTATTAATAAGTGATATTATTTGTAAGTTTAATGATATGTTGTCTGTGTTTTAGACCCAAGGTATGGTAATTATTAATTCCATGTTAATTGCTACAGTTTTTTTCCCTAGGCTTTCCATGTTTCTCGAATGCACACCTATCTAGGTATCAATAGTGCATTTGGCTCCAAAGACAGCCTTTAATGTTCTTTTCCAGTTGGCATTCAGATCTTGTGCAGCTCCCTCCAATTTGAATGGCTGACCCCTGTGTCCATTTGGATAATATGGAAATGACAATCTGTTTTCCAAGTTAGGTCATCTTATAGCTTTGCTGTTACCTGGCTCTTATGCTCCTGCTTCTAAAGTTTCAATCTTCCTTTCCCCTTACTCTCCTTCAGATCCCTCCCACAGATTTTTATCATAATTAAAGATAGCAAGAGTTTCAACTGTCTGTATTTTACTAGAGCATATATGTTACAGAGGCATAGATTTTCATCTGATAAGTATGCTGCTATGCTTTGTAACATAAAATAGGGCCTGGAAAATGGTAAGTATCCAATAATGTGTCTAGAATGAGTTAAGTGAGCAGGAGAGATTTTAACATGAGCCTCATTCAGGTTATTGTGATAAGTATCTCTCCTGGGAACTCTGATCAAGCTCCCAAAGATTTCCAGAAAGATCAAGCTCCCCTGCTTTCCAAATTGTGGCTTTATGCACTATACTATCTGTACTTCTCTCAATGCCTATAATGCTCATTGGGTTCTCAGTCACGGAAAATGTTCAGCTATTCGGTTTCCCTGAGTTTCCCCTTTTACTTTGGTTTGTTTGATAATATCTTCTTTGCTTCTTAAATCTTGTTAATATGTAACAGTCACTCCATATTGAAACTAACCCTCTTCAGATCTCTGAACTTAGAAAGGGGCTGAGTCAAATAACTTTTATCAGACTTCAGGATTTCTTCCATAAATTTTTCAAAGCTTTGCATGTAGACACTCTGAATCTCACTATTCATGATAGTCAATAAAAAATTCCATGCAAAATAATACTGGAAATTCCAGGGAGGAAATGAATATAAATAGTTTTAAGGATATTATTCCTTCTTGAATTATGAACCATAGATACTTTTTGTTTTGACATAAATACCACAAAAGGAGTATGTTGATTTGAATGTTCTTCACAAAAAGGAAGGAGGAGGAGAAGAGGAAGAAGAGAAACAAGGAGAAGGAGGAGGAGGAGATGAAGAAGAAATCAAAGCTGTGATTGTTAATTGTTATTCCAAATATTGAAGAATGGAAGAATGTGGGTTACCAAATAAGAATGTAACCTAATTAGACTCATTCCTCGAGCTCCTCTTACAGATTTATGTTGTGCCAGCAGAACATGATCAAAGCATGGCCACTTCTGCATTAAAAGGAATACAAAGGAACAGTTGTTTCAACTTAAGCAATGTGTCTCTTAGAAATACTACTCGGAAATATTTACTTGGACAAAATATGGAAGGGAAGTTATTTCTGGTTCTTTAGAGCATATGGATGTTTGAAGTATACCATAAGACTTCCATTCTACTGACTAAAGTCAGAGCTACACATGGCAAATGAACCAAGCCAATTACACGTGGAATGTTCATTGTTTTAAGGTTAATTCAACTGTCACAGAGATGAAGCACTACAGGAGGAGGACCAACAGGCAAGGAAAATCAGCTGTGTATCTACCAACAGAGGAGAAAATCCTCTGGGGGAATTGTCATGGTCATATGAATATTTAGGGAGAAAGTATTGGCCAATTTCCCATTCTATAATCTTGATGAGATGACCAACATCATTGCCATAAAGTTAAATGAAATCACTATTCATGGAATCCACTACTCATGATTATATACAAAATATCCAAAATTTCCCTTTCTTTGACATAGCTGTGGTGATATTTTTGTGGGGATGTACTCTGAATGATTGCAAACTGTCCCTAGCCTACTAGAGATCTCTGGAGTGTGTGCATTGGCAAATCAGAGCATGTGTGTTGCAACAGAGAAAAGAACACAGAAGGGAACACCTTTCCTCCAAGACTCTTGCTACTCTGAGATTGAGCTGTTAGGGCCCTGTTTCTGGCAATACATGGACCACTTCCAGGGAATTTTTTCAAAACCTATGGGCAAGCCAGTGCATTTATGACTATATATACTATTCCAGTAGATATTCTGGGAAATCAAAACTATATTAATTTAGCATGAGCCAATATTAAAATCTCTATAGATACTAATCAGTGATTACATGGGGGTCACAAATATGACAGCCAGTGATAATTCAAAGATTCAGGTCTCAGAGTTGAGCAAGAAAAGACTGTGTTAATCATTGGACTATTCAGATACTAGTTTGGGAAGGGGCTGTGGACTGCAAAGAATGTGGGAACTTTGTAAAACAAAGATCCATGTGGCACCCTAAGTCCCTATATGAAAATTCCTGAGTATTTCACTTTCTGGACTCCTCCTACAGGACATAATCCTGAGAGGAACTCAACATGTTTTCTTGTTGGGAAATCTTTCCAGTATGAGAAAAGGGAGTTGGTGCTCCATCCAATGCCTAAAAATACCTTATGTCTATTCATAAATACTCTCAATAGATACTTACTCCCAACTCTGCCCCTCTTCTCAGTTGGGACTTGTTATAGTTTGAGTATGAAGTATTCCCACATATTTGTTTTAGGCACTTGATTTTCAGCCACTGTCACTGTTTAGAACAGAGGTTCTCAACCTGTGGGTTACAACCTCTATGAAGGTCAAACAACTAACCCTTTCAAAGAGGTTGCATATCCGATATCCTGCATATCTAATATTTACATTATGATCCATAATAGTAAGTAACAAAATTACAGCTATGAAGTAACAACAAAAATAATTTAATGATTGGAGGTCACTACAAGATGAGGAATTATATTAAAGGGTCACAGCATCAGGAAGGTTGAGAACCACTGGTTTAGAAGACTATGGAGCCTTCAGGTATTGGAGCTTTAGTGGAATAAGCAAATCACTGGGGTCAAGGTTTGTAAGCCAGATCTACTCCCTATCTTGTTTTTGTTTCCTGTTCTCCCAACAAGTGGAGAAGTAAAACATTGTAGCTGCATACTCATGCTACCTGGAGCCTCCAGCTGCCCATACCTTCTCCATCAGGATAGGCTGACTGTAGTTCTTCAAACTGTAAGCCAAAGTAAGTTCTTCCTCTCTTAAGTTGCTACAGGTAGGAATTTTACCACACCCAAGAGAAGAATGGCTAATATGGGAGACATGATTACCGAAGACATTTCTTTGTTGATTATATACCTAAATTATTCTCTCAGAGCTGAAAACAATAAATACTTATCAACTAACTGCAAGTTACTAACTCCACAATTTGGGGGACTGTAAAAAAGCCATGGGTGAAGATGCAAAATATAAGCATGAAATTCAAACTCTAACTAAAACTGTTCTCAGTCTGTTTTACCATTTTGAACAGTTTTATTTACATACATAATGTATTCTGTTGTTCATATTTAATGTCACATAAATTTTCTGTTAGCTACTTGATTCATAGTGTTCTATGGTTTGAACACTACAGACCTGGTATCCTTTTACCTTTGTGTTCACTTGTACAGCCATCTTTCTTCCAAAGAAAGGCTTTGAACTTAAGCATAACATATGTGAGGATTGTGATCATTGCCTGCTGTGAACAGACGCCTCATTTATGCTGTTTATAGTTATTGAACTTTAGGGAAATATGTAATTGAAGGACAGTGATGTGAACAACAACACAATTTACCCGAGTGTTTATAAATCTCTTTAAATTCATGGGAGGAAAACTTCTGGCAGATTATCTTAAATGTAAACAGCAGTGATTTTTTTAATGTCAAAAGTTGCTACTCAGTCAGGTTCTTTGTTCAAATGGAGCCAAATGAAATAATAACTGCCGCTGCACAAAATCATTTTAAATAAAATACAAGGCTGGAAACAGTGAACAGATCCTTTGCTCTCTTCCTTCTAAACTGTACAAACATTTAATAGCTTCTGACATCTTACGTCTGTGTTACGTTGATACTTAACATCTGTCATTTATCAGTGACAATCTTAAATGATATTAGATGTATAATTTACTTGATTAATCTTACTGATTTTCCCCCTGCAGAATATCTTGTCTACCCATCTTCATTTTAGCTCTAATCAACTAGTTCAAATCGGATGTCAAGTAATGCGCACTATTCAAGTTTTTTTTTTTTTTTTTTTTTTTTATGCAGGGGAGAGTAAAAATGCAGTTCCCGACTACCACAAATTATGCAGTCGAGTTTCCTGCATTTGGGGAAATCACAGGGGTGAGCACATCTGGACTGCAATGGATAAACCTTGCCCTGGAAAACCACTTTCATGATCATGGTATCTCCTCTGTCAGGTAATTATGGATTATTAAGTTTTTAAAGAGCAAGTTTTCTAACAGATAAACAAACATGCTGTTCAATGTTTCAAGTTCTGTCTTAAAGAAAATTTATGATATTACACTTGAAATACACACACACACACACACATATAAAATTCTGTTTTGGAGTTATTTATCCTTTAAAAACCATAGCACCACACAACTACCACCAGAAACAAAAAACCAGTTAAAGCAAGTTTTCTTGGCTATCATAATAGAATGTCTGTAAGCATGGCTAAATACAGCAAGAGCCACATACATCTGAAACATCCAAAAGCTTACTTCCAAGGAAACAAAATGAACACAGCAGTGTTATACACAACCTGAACAAATAATGTTACTCACAGGCCTTCAGGCAGGAGGAAGAGCGATCTACTTGCTGAATCTTTCCACTGAACATATAGTCTGTTTAATTCTAGTGAGACCTCTCCTGGATCTCAGATGAGAGAGGGACCTTTTTCTCTATGCCAAATGAGAGATCATACTCAAAAGAGAAGTTCCTATTCTGAAGCAAAGGAGCCACATGCTCCATTATGATCAAGTTGCTGAGTTAAAACTTTTTATTTTTTTGCCGAATAAAACAATGTGTTTCATTGTGACATGCTCAAATGTGATTGTATTATATTCATATTCACCTCCTCACATCGTCCTTCCGCTTCCCTCTTCTCACTCCCTTCCTCCTCCCAAACACTGATCTCTCTGCTGTCATGTCACATGAACACACACACACACACACAGAGAGAGAGAGAGAGAGAGAGAGAGTTATTTCACAAGGAGACGATACATATCTTTGATTCCCATTCCCTTTCTTTTTATTTAGTTATTAATTTTCTTATTTTACATATCAATCCCAGTTTCCTCTCCATCCCTCCCTCCTCTCTTCCTCCCTCCCTCCCATACCCCGGGACCACCTTCCCATGCCCATCCTCCACCCTACTCCACATGTAGGGTGAGACCTTCCTGGAGGGGTCATCTAAATCTGTCAAGTCACTTGGAGTAGGGACTAGGCCCTCCCTCCTGCCTCTAGATTAATGGACTATTCCCCCATGGGGAACGTGCTCCCAATGTCCTTTTGTGCACCAGGGATACATCCTGGTTCCATTGTCAGAGGTCCCTTAGACTACCCAGGCCTTCTAACTGAGAACCATGTTCAGGGGGTCTGACTCAGTCCAATGCTGGATTCCAGGCTATCAGTCTGGGGGCCCATTAGCTCCTCCTTGTTCAGTTCAGCTGTCTCTGTAGCCTAGTCTTGTCCTCCTTCTCTGCATTTGGATTCCAGTTAGGCTCAGTGTTTAGCTGTGGGTGTCAGCTTCCATTTCCATCAGCTACTAGATGAGGGCTCTATGATGGTGGATAAGTTAGTCATCAATCTCATTATCAGGGAAGGGCATTTATGATAGCCTTTCTACTGTTGCTCAAGTTGTTAGTTGGGGTTAGTCTTGTAGGTGTCTGGACATTTCTCTAGAGTCAGTTTTCTCTAGAAACTTATAATGGCTCCCTCTTCTTTGGTTTCTCTCTCTCTCTCTCTCTCTCTCTCTCTCTCTCTCTCTCTCTCTCTCTCTCTCTCTCTCTGCTTTTCGGTTAGTTTGGATAAAGGTTTGTGTATCTTGTTGATTTTCTTGAAAAACCAACTCTTTGTTGCATTGATTTTTTTTTGTATTGTTTTCCTAGTTTCTATTTTATTGATTTCAGCCCTCAAATTGATTATTTCCTGGCATCTACTCCCCTGGGATGAGTTTACTTCTTTTTGTTCTAAGGCTTTCAATTGTGCTGTTAATTCTCTTATGTGACTATCCTCCATTTTCTTCATATGGGCACTTAGTGCAGTGAACTTCCCTCGTAGCACTGCTTTCAAGGTGTCCCATAAGTTCGGGTATGTTGTGTCCTCATTCTCATTGAGTTTTAGGAAGTTCTTAATTTCTTTCTTTATTTCTTCTTTGACCCAGGTATGGTGCAATTGTGCATTGTTCAGTTTCCATGAGTTTGTAGAGTTTCTGTGATATGTGTTGTTGTTGAATTCCAACTTGAAAGCATGGTGGTCTGATAAGATACAGGGGACTATTCCACTTTTTTTTTTTTTTAATCTGTTGAGGTTTGTTATGTTGCTGAGTATATGGTCGATTTTAGAGAAGGTTCCATGTGGTGTAGAGAAGAAGGTATATTCTTTTGTGTTTGGTTGTAATGTTTTATAGATCTCTGTTAAACCCAGTTGAGACATAACTTGTGTTAGTTCTTTTGTTTCTTCATTAAGTTTCTTACTGGTGGTCCTGTCTATCAGTGAGAGTGGGGTGATGAAGTCTCCCACTATTAGTGTGTGAGGTTTTATGTGAGCTTTGAGTTTTTGTAGTGTTTCTTTTACGAATGTGGGTGCCTTTGTATTTGGGGCATAGATATTCAGAATTGGGACTTTTGCTGATTAATTTCTCCTGTGATGAATACAAAATGGCCATCTTCATCTCTTTTGATTGATTTTGGTTTGAATTCTAACATGTTAGCTATTAGGATACCTACACCTTCTTGCTTCTTGAGTCCATTTGATTGGAAGATCTTTTCCCAGTCCTTTACCCTGAGGTAATGTCTATCTTTGAAGCTTAGATGTGTTCCTTGTATGCAGCAGAAGGATGGAGTCTGTCTTTGTAACCATTCTGTTAGTTTGTGTCTTTTTATAGGTGACCATTAATGTTGAGGGAAATTAAGGACCATTGATTGTTAATCCTTGTTTGTTTTAGATTTGTTGTTGGTAGTGGTATTATGAATATATTTGTCCTGCTTTACCCTTGGGTTCTAGTGAAGTGGGATTATCTATTGCCTATGTCTTTTTGAGCACAGTTAACATCCTTGGGTTGGAGTTTCCTTCCAGAACTTTCAGTATGGCTGGATTTGTAGATACATATTGTGAAAATTTGTCTTTGTCATTAAATATCTTGTTTTCTTTGTCTATAGTGATTGAGAGTTTTTATGGATATAGTAGCCTGGGCTGTCATCTGTGGCTTCTTGGTACTTATAGAACATCTATGCAGGACCTTCTGGCCTTGAGAGTTTCCATGGAGAAGTCAGGTGTAATTTTGATAGGTCTGCATTTATATGTTACCTGGCCATTTTCCTTTGCTGCTTTTAATATTCTTTCTTTATTCTATATGTTAGGTGTTTTGATTATTATGTGCCAAGGGGTCTTTTTTCTTTGGTCCAGTCTATTTGGTGTTCATTATGCTTCTTGTACTTTCATGGGCATGTCCTTCTTCAGACTGGGAAAGTTTTCTTCAATGATTTAGTTAGTAATATAGCTAACTAATATAGTTCCAAACTAAGTATAAATATTCGTCTTTATATCCCCAGATTAGTATAGTCCTCAACCTTCATCAAGCAAAGTTTCATTGTAACAGATGGAGATCATTACAGAAACTACAACTAATAAAAGCATATTTAGGATATATTTATATATAATACACATATAAGTATAGGTATGAAACAACACACACACACATACATACATACACACATACATACATACACACACACATATACACACACACACATACACACACACACACACACACACATATATATATATATATATATACACATACATACTTGAAAACTAACAAAAAGAGAAAGAACAAAGAGGAGTGTATGGGAGAAAAGGAAATGGGGAAATGGTGCAATTATAATAAAAAATAAAATATAGGAAGTAAAACAAATTAGTATCTTGTAGTTACAAAATAACAAAAAAGAGCAGGCTCTGCTTGAAAGCAAATGGAAGTGGAAGGCCTAAGACCCACAAATCCCAGGAATCACATGGATCAGAGGGCTCAGAGTGGGGCTGAGTGAGAGACTAGGGACACAGAACCAATGGGAGTGGCTCTAGTGAGACAGGCCTGGCAGAGAAGCAACCACGTTGCAATAGCACAATGCAGTTCGGTCCTGACAGCCCTCTTGGCTGTGTGCATATTCCTACAAACACAGAGACCCCTGATGCTGCAGGTTGAGTCCACACTCAGGAATCTACTCTTCAATCAATACAATTTATTGAATTTGTTCCAATTCGGGGTCGACTGACTATACTTCAGAGGCTGGGAGTGGAAAGCTGGCTCAGTGGTTAAGAGCACACACCGGGCTATCATTATCAACATGGCAATCAACAAGAATGTCTTGTGGAGTTTTTTTTCTGACATCTTAGGGAGACTGCAGTGGTCATCTCCACTCTCCGAGCTTCATCATGCCACCTAAGAATGACAAGAAGAAGAAAGATGCTGGAAAGTTGGCCAAGAAAGACAAAGACCCAGTAAATAAGTCTGGTGGCAAGGCCATAAAGAAGTGGTCCAAAGGCAATGTTCGGGACAAGCTCAACAAACTAGTTCTGTTTGACAAAGCTACATACGACAAACTCTGTAAGGAAGTGCCCAATTATAAGCTTATTACTCCAGCTGTGATCTCTGAGAGACCGAAGATTCGAGGTTCTTTGCCCAGAGCAGCCCTTCAGGAGCTACTTAGTAAAGGACTTATTAAGCTGGTTTCAAAGCACAGAGCCCAAGTAATTTACACTAGAAACACAAAGGGTGGAGATGCCCCAGCTGCTGGTGAAGATGTATAAACAGGTTCAATCAGGTGTACATTTAAAAAAATAAAGCGTTATTAAATAAAAAAAAAAAAGAATGTCTTGTGGATCATTGTTTTCATGGGTTGGTCCAAAATAGCGAGCCTGTGATAACTGAGCTGATGGTATAAAGAAGATATAAGCTTTACCGTTTCCACACCTTGCTGGCTGTCCATTTGGAGGGAAACACTCTTCTATGTCACCACATATCCTTGCTGTCTAGCTGCAAAGCAGGACAACGCAGATGCACGTTTCCAGATCTGGAAGGGAGGGAATCAGATGGCTGTAGAAGAGGTTCTCCCCTGAGAATTTTTAGTGCAGAGGCAGTTTTCATAATTATATTCCCTTGAGTTCAACCAAGAACAGCTTTTTTATATACTTTAACCCTAA